CCCATCCTTATACATCAAAGGAAAAGATGGAAGCTCATCTGGAGCCATTCTTAACTGATCAGTAAACGACCATTTCCCCGGACGGGGTGGGGACGCCCCAAGATAGAAAACCTTAGCCCCAAAGGCTCGGGAAAGATCGTTCAAAAATTTATACAGTTTTTTCATAAATCCAGAAAAGTCATTAATATCTAAAAGATCAGTCCGCTGGACCAAGTTCTTGATATCATTGGTCCCAATTCTCACAAAAACGTGACTAAACTGAAACCCACTTGGCAAACTAAGATCTCTAAAAACCCTATCCCTGAGTTCAGACGGGGTCATCGTTTGTCCATACCCAAATGATAGGCCACTGACCGAGTACTGAAAGAATTTAGTAATAAAAAAAGAGAAATTCTTATATCACACAAACAAAAGGAGACTGAAAAAACTCACTTGGAATAGAGACAATGGAAGATCTGCCGTCATATGAGATAAGTCGAAAATGGGCTTTCTCGTACATTTGGCCTCATTTACATGTGTCACGAACACCCGATTTCTCATGACAAGACGGAAGAAGGAGAGCAACGAAGTTCCAATAAGAAGGACTTGAGGTTGAGTAGGGTCCACATCATGCACACACTCCCAGCTTAAGCCAGGAGTATTGTAGTTCCAATCCTGAACTAGACATCCAGGAACTGGAAGTACTGTCGGTTCCAACTCCGCAACATGACTCGCCGTCAGTCCAAGGCGACAAGCAGCATTTTGCATAAACACCTTCCCGTCCTTTGGACAGAAGAGTTTACTTGCAAAAAATTTGTCAAGTAATTCTGAAAAAACCAAACATGCAAAGTAAAATGGTCAAAAGGGTTTTACTCAAGTACAATTACTTCATTCCTCTCCTCACCATTAGACATGTCAACTTTAGCGGCATCGCGCAATTTCGGAATCACGAATCCAGTATTTACAACGCGTTTGGGAACTTCAGGCTCCTGAGGAGAAATTGCCAATCTTTTCACACTCGTTGGTGCTGAAGACGCAGCACTGGGACTCGGCCTCTTCATCGCAGCAGCAGTAGATCCTCCACTTGGTGTAGAAGGTCCAGATGTCGATGCAGTAGCTGCAGCATACGTTCTTGGATGAATTGACATTCTCGCGGTCTTCGGAGTAGCAACACCCTTGTGCTCATCAGCAAACTTCTTGACAAGTGCTCCCATGGAGCCAATTCAAAGAGAGACTTTTGTGGATCCTTCACCAACCGAGATAGTCATCAACTGATCTGAATTCAAGAAAAACAAAAAACGAGATCAATAGTAAAAACCATCCAAAATCCCTTGAGAACGATTCTGTACACACCTTCTCGTTTCACCTCACAAAGAGGCCCTTCCTCCAAAACCAAATTGGACAGCCCTTGAAGCCGAACTGCCAACGTGGCAAGATCATGGATCGATCTTTGTCGAATACTGCTTGTCAACTGCACCGTACTCAAGTTTGCTTCCGTAGTTGCCAGAATGGCCAGTTTACGGTTTAACTCCAACATCTTCTTCCTCTNCTCCTCGAACGACACCATCTCAGCAAGGTCTCCTTGTATCTTGGAGATCTGATGCTTCTTCTTATCCGATCTCTCCTGAAGTTTCTTCACCTGTGTCTCCAGGCCATGCTTGGCAATTGTAGCAAGCGATTTGGATTTCACAACTGCTACAAGATCCAAAAGCTGCTCCCACTCCCCCTCCGACAGTGAAGTCAATTCCGACAATCGGCTTGCGGGGAGGTTGGCAAGCAGAGGGATTTGGCCTCCACTGGAAGGGGCTCTTCCACCTCCATAGCAACATCTTTAAGATCACGAACCAGCATTAGAATCAATGAGAATTCAACCAATTTAAAAAACAAGATTAAAATCCTACAATTTCATCTAATTCAGGTTCGGGCTCTTACCTTCAGTTCCTTCAGTCACCAACGCCTCATCAAGCAGCAACTTTCCCTCTGAAACGGTGGAGTTGGACGAATTCTCATCTGAAATTATACAAATCAATCAAGTAACTTTCTTAAAATTGAAACGTCCTGAAAACAAAGTTCCTCTTAGAACCCTAAAGACATTTCCCGTTAACCGAAGAATTTACTTAACGACCAATTTTAAGAATTTCAAAAAAAAAAACTTTGGAACACTCACCTTGTTGAACTTCCGGATGTTCACACATCTCTGATGCAGACAAAGCCATCACGTTTTGTCTTCTTTCAGATTATATCAAAACTTAAAAAACTGAGTATCAAATCTGAGGTATTATGAAAAATTTCACAAACGCTCGAGATCTGAAATCAAGAAGGGCATTATTCTCAAATTACAATCAAGTCTTGAAAACCAAAGAATCAGCACGGCACTCAATACACTACAAGGTTTATTCGCTCTGAAATAGGGTGACCTTTGGTCACACAGACTCAACATTTCTGCGACAACAGAAAGTTTCGGCACGGAAAAGTCTCGCAACCTTTGGTTGCACAGATTCTGCTATTTTCTAAAAAGGCATGGAAAGTTAGCAACCTCTGGTCGCACAGATTCTACCCTAACACAAGGGGAAGCGTTACAACTACTTTTTGACGGTCCAGGCGATGGATTTGGGTCTTTTAACACAAGATCACTACTCCTTGGACCTTTGACCTCCAACTAGGGAGGAATACGCGACACTAGACCATCTGTTGAAACAACAGATAAGTCTCAAAAGGGAAAAGTTTGACCTTTGGTCGAAAAGACTCACGACTTTCTATCACGAATGATGAAACAAAAGCGCACTCGAGAGAATTAAAACGAGGGGATTAAAAACTGAGTTACCGGAATCAAGAATTATTCGAATTTTACAACCAACCGAGCTCGCAACAAATTCACTTCACCAACAAAGGACACCAATCCGCATCACACTTCACTGACTTTATTGAGTATCTCTTTTTTGCACTTCGAGATCTGAGACTGGCCAGCTCAGATCTCCAACCCTTAACAGTCCTTTCAAATCTATTTTTCAAATTTTTCTAACTCACGGATTTTTTATACCTAGACAACCGAATCCAGGTCTCTGCTAAGCCAAACTATGTAACAGAAGCCCAAAATTCGGCGTTTATATTCATCTTGCCAAGCAGACATGATGCACCGAACCGGTACACTACGTCATCATCCTCAATGGCGAATCATCTACACGAAGACACACCCCCGCCTTTCCTCAGCAACTGCCAATACCAGGAAACGCCTCAAAAAACAAGTTACCAGCAGCTGCAAGAAGACGAGAATTTATGACTTTGCGCTACCTTCAAAACATCTAAGCTTTATGGAACAACTGATTTTCAGTCTTTGACCAATTTCAGGAATGTTGGTCAATCATTTGTGGGTGCACCCTTTTCATCCTTTTCCGAAGAATGTCCTCTCTGCTTGCTCTAAAATTGAATTTTCAATTTTTATCTCAAGTTTTTTCATGGATTTAGCAGTATAAACAGCAGGTTTTAAAAGTTATGAATAAGCCTTTGTACAACATGGTCACAAAGAAGAAAAAAGGGAACAATTCCATCAACTGAGCAAGGTTTCAAAAGAATCCTTTCTATATGCAGAATAATCTAGAAGGTGTGAACATACTCCTTAGCTTTTGCTTAAATTTCAAATTTATCATTATTTTTTCAACAGAATGGTTTAAATCACGAGGCGATTCAAGAATGCCCCTACATGGATCAAGTTTTGAGCGAGGTTCTCCGGATTTATCCCCTAGACTCAACGCAAGTATATTGCTGAATTATGCATGGAAAATAATGAGGAAATCAAGAAGTCACCGATTTTTTTCTCTCTCCAGAATCGACCGAGAATGTACGAAGTCTTGCGAAATCAATGGACTGCAATTCAAAAAAGGAGATGCAGTGGTCATCCCCATGTGGTCCATTCAACATAATGAGGACTATCATCCTGATCCAGACACTTTCCGCCCTGAACGGTAACACTGGTGGTACCCTGCATTTCCACCTCCCTCAATTAAACTGTCCCCTAATTTGATGGTCGAATTTGCAAAGAGGTTGACTACTAACTTTAACCTTGCTCCGCAATTTGGCCTGCTTATGCCATTTTTTGGAATTTTTGCATTGATATTTTTGAATTTCAAGTAGTGTCTTGCAATTTGACTGTTTTGCAATTTGACCCTAGTTTTGCAATGGATTAGAGTCAAATTCCAAGGTACCATCTGTAAAGGTATTCCATTGGTGATAACATTTGTAATAATTGATGCAAAAAATTAATGGATAATACAATTTTGAATTAATGCCCTGGGAGTTCTTTCAAAAGATAAAATCTTTCTAAATTTTGTTGCAAATTTTTTGGGAAATCTAATGTCGTGCCCCACAATTGAATCAATTGGTGTATACATTAAATAAACAAAGTTTGAAGAAAGAAAAAAAGAACTTCAATCAGCTGACCTGAGGTAATAAGCATGTGAGTCATTTATAGGGCAAATATATTTTCATTAAGAGGTTCAAAGGAACAATGCAGTCAAACATCTTCAAATTCAACTACCGTATTATTGGGACCACAAAATTTTGATTTAGTGAGTTTTTGAGTTAGGGAAACTAGCGTTAGCATTTTTTGCTTGGAAAAAATGAAGCATCACAGAAAGTTAATATTAGTGATCTATTGTGTCTTGAATTTCTCTATTTTAAATGAGTTGACAACATGATGCCGAAGTCACTGGATATAAATTTTTTTTCGCAGAGGCTTGACCATGAAAATCATTGAGCCAGGGAAGACTTCAATATGTGATCCTTGCGTTAAAATGTGCTGCAGGAAAAATAGAAAAAAAGCTTAAAAAGTTATGTTTATACAGTACAGTATACGGATTTGGGACGCTTGAGTTATGAAAAATATTTGCTGCAATAAATGAAGCTTTTACAAAAGTCGATAGATATTTTTAACTTGGTTACCAACATCTCAGAGATCTGGCAATAAATGCAGAGAACGAGTAACAGTTCGATTGCGGCTTCTTTCTTAAATTTTCATTTTTGAGAAGTTTATGAAAATTACTCCCGAAATGTATGGAAACCTTTTTTCTTGAAGGTTCGCACCGGAAAACAAATCGAAAATGGTCCCATATACATACTTTCCCTTCGGCCAAGGACAAAGGGCTTGCATCGGAATGCGATTCGCTTCAGAACAAGCTAAGCTGACCCTGGGTCACTTTATCCTGTCTTTCAAACTCTCCAAATGTTCTAAAACATACGTAAGTTTATCAAGAAAATCAATATGAATTCACTGCTGCGATGAATTAATTGCGTTCAATATATATGCTACCCGCAGCATCCACCAAAATATGAAGGAAACCGCCTCATGACAATGCCCAAGGACTTGTTTGTCAGGATTGAAAAGCGTGTCGAATAATAAGAATTCATGTGATTCCGTCAAATTTTCATCGATTTAACTGAGGTACTACATAAAACTTAGCGAATCGTGTTACAGTTTCTTCTCCTTCAGAACTTGTGAAGTGCTCAAAAACTCGCTGCAGATGACGAAAGAATTTTTCAACATCCTCGTCGCGAAATCTTGATTATTCAAACCGAACGCAAAAATCCATCCGCAATAATCGCATAAATTTTAGAAAGTTGATTTTAGAAGCAGGCTTTATTATTAAGCATCCGTCACAGCACATAAAAACAGAACACATGTACCTGCTTATCACAGATTTGAATATAAATCGCAGAAAATTACAAATTTTCGCGAACAGCATTTATTATAATATTCTGAATGACACGCACAATACTAATTTGAGGAATCGTGAAAAAAATTGTTTTTCATATTTTTTTGCATTGTTTTGTTCATTTTCTGCATGAAAAAAGAATAACTCCACAGTAATTTTTCTCCCAGGAGAATACTTTCAAATTTTGAGAAAAACAAACTTCGAAACAATAATCTTAAAAATGAAAAGCAAAGTCATTGCATCTGACAAACATGAGTTCTGAGCTCGCAGACACGCCTATTTCAAATAAATATACAGTCACCCGTTTTAATGGACTTAATTCATGCAATGGATTAGTCCTTTAGGCTAGAAGTCTGTTAGCAAGTTCACTTTCCCTTCAGGTTTACATGTGGCTTTAGTTCAAAAATGTAACAGAATAATTTGGAAAAAATTTAGAAACACAGTCATTCTTGAACTGAATCAAACCTGAGCTTTATACACTTTCAAAACAGGAAAGTAGAAAAACCATAAGTCACTATACTCAGTCATCCTCAAAAAATGAAAAACATTAAAACAACACATTAATCACTCAGAGTCACTGTTGTTGTGAACTTTGAAAAGGTTTTGTGCACCATGCATATGGTCCAGCTTGGGCACCTGATGGCCCAGCTCTATCAGCAGAGAAGAAGTTTTTCATGTTGGTCTGCTTCATCTTCCTTCTTTTCACTAGGCAGAGGAATACTACAAAGGTTATCTGTGGCATCCAGAAGTTGCCTCACTTCTTGCTTCTTGGGATGATGCTTTGTGAAGAAATATTGAACTCTTTCCCAGTCTTTCAAACATTCCTTCATGTCAGCTACTTTGTCCCCTGCCTGTGATTGGCTGGAGAAATGTGCATCAAAGAAGACATGCATCCTGGGAACCGGGGACCAGAATTCAGGTCCTGGGACCTAATGTCCCTGGGCCCCATTTCTGGTTCTTTAACAATATGCAAGGGTGGCACTGAATTGGGGGTGCTAAATCAAAGTTTGACTGTGGATAAATATATCATAATTTTGGCATATTTCATTTTCATGGATCACTCCTGGGCAAGATAAGCTCAAAACCAATTTTGGGCAATCAAATATATTGTTATCCCAATCTACTAAAGATAATTATCTAAAGACACTTTTGATTTAGGAAAGACGTCTCTTTCCAGAGATTGATTAATTTAAAGAATGTTAACTGTTTTAGGACAACCTTTCAACAAGAAGATTTAGTTCTTATGGCCAGGGCTGAAGTGAAACACAACTTCTTGATTTAGAGTAGCAATACATATATTCTGCCCTACATCAGCTATTGCCAGACCAACAATGAATACCTGTACATATGCAAGCAGACCCTCTTATAGATTTTATAAATCTAGATGTGGCTGCGCAACCAAGATGGGGACACCACAAAAGGGGACAAGGGAAATGCCCGCAAACCAGACATGGTGACCTTGTCTGCTTTGGAGCAGTGAGTTGCTAATATGCTAGGCTTGTTTGACATTCTGGAACATTACATAAAAAGGAGGCAGTATTGTCCATATATTGCAGGATGTGATAAAACAATTTTGGTCATAATATAAAGGTATTTCCATGTACCTGGAAATTATTGTTCTTTTTATCACCATTGCCAACGTTAGTACTGTTTAAGTGAAATTTAATTTATTTCATTACTAAATATTAGAGTACATGACATAGAGAGTAAAATACCCGTTTAACAAAGACACAGGGATTTCACCGTTCGAGTGTTATTGTCGGACACACGGAGGCGGATGCTGTCGCATGGCAAACAGTATTTTATGGCAGCAGACGCCTTCATATTGCACAGGCACACACGAGCAAGGTGATTCAGCAGTCATTACAGTGAAGCTATCTCTGATGCTTGTCTGCATCATGTACCCACACCCTAGCTTGGGATGTTTCAGACACAGTCTGAACTTTTGAGTGGATTTTGTGGAAAAACATTCCTTTTTATGTGCGTGTTATTGGTGGTTTTGATGGAAGTTCTCCACGATTGATGCCACCCATACAGTGGAGAGTTTACACCGGAAACTCATGCACTCTAGAATTTTGTTACAATGCAAAAATCAATTGGGACAGCAGGAGAAAATCAACCACGAAATTTAGAGAAAGTTGTGACTACTTTGCAGGAATCTAGATAGCGAATTTTCCATGAGCAAAAAAAAATTATTATGAGATTTTTGTGACAAAATTTTTATGTACACAAAAAACTACCTACATGCAAGAAAAGTTCATTTATCTCATGAAAAATATCCCAGAAAGTGAAATGAACAGTTCTGCAAGCATAAAACTTTGAATTCAAACAATTTGGGGTCATAAAACATGTTTTCTTGCTTTTGTTATCGTCTTTTCGGGTCATTTTCAGTATTTTATTTTTTCTAATGTGGATTCAGGGAATTAAAAAAGAATTTTAAGAATAAAAGTTCAAATGGGAAATTTGCTGTTACTGGTGCTGGAGTGAACAAGTGCGAGAAGTTTTTTTTTAAGTACTCTAGATATTATCTTTAAAAGTATTAGCGGTATTCAGCGAAAATTTCAACAAATAAAAGCTGGGACGTGCAATGAATATACTACTGTATATAATCAAACAAATTGAAGATTTTTTCCTTGAAATAAACCTTATGAGTAATCTGAATATCTTCACGTAAAACTTCATCTCAACCCGTGTATTAATTTCAAAATATTATTGAAAATGACGAACACATATTTGAAATTATGTTGGATTGGAAAATTCAGGATTTTTTAGAGATATAAGGTTTTCCGTATAAGATGAATTCGTGCCATATTCATTTGTGGATCTATCACTGAAACTCACTTGCTGGACCATTATTAACCGAGGCATTACGTTGTTTATGATGCAAAAATATTTTTTTAATGTCAGGAGAACCAAACCTTAAATCATGGAGATTTTGGGATTTGAAGTCCCCCTGTGGATAATTTTGTTCACCGTATTCGTAATTTGGTTCTACAAGTATTTGTATTCCGGATACGACTTTTTCGCTAAAAGAGGGATACCAACAGTCAAACCGATTTACCCGATCGTTGGCAACCTTTGGGGGATTTGGAACAAGGTTGGTTTCTAGACACTAATTTGTTAATCAAATTTTTAAAGAGAGCTTCACAATTTAATTTCGCACAGGACACCCGAAAGTGGCAAGAGGAAAACGTGCGAAAATATGGTACATTTTTTGGGTGAGTGGCAATTGAGTATTTTTCCCACATTAGCGCTATCTAACTGAAAAAATTAATTTTTCCTGATTTTTAGAATGTACGATGGAAAAGCTCCATTGCTTTACGTCAGTGATCCTGAGGTCATCAAGGAAATATTTGTGAAAAAGTTCGACTGTTTCGCCGACCACCAGGTAGAAAAATAAAGAAATCGAACCATTTTCATGAATGAAATTCTGTGAGAAAAAATAATAAAGAGCTATCTTATTTGGCAGCAATTTTCAGCGGGTTTCGATCAGGTGAAATACATTCGAAAATTCCTCTTCGTCATAAGTGGCCAAGATTGGAAAGATGTAAGAAGCTCTGTTACTCCAGCTTTTTCAAGCGGGAAAATCAAGAAGGTTAGTATAGACCCGAAATGTATGAGAAAAAGGAGCGAACACAAAATTGAGCGCGTGCAAAAATCGCCTGAAGCTTAAAACAGCTCTTGTTCGAAGTATTTTTCAGCGCAGAAAAAAAACCTAATAAATGTCTCCAGTGCCTTGGAAGTTTGAAACTTCGATAAATAAGACAGCGTATTTTTTGCCTGTAGAGAACGGCGTTTTTTTTCAATTGTAACAAAAATGGTTTGATTTACATTCTACACGGGGTTTAACGCGATATGGTGAAATTAATCCGCTGCTAATCAAGTTCTGGATCGTTTTTCACTAAAACAATGCCTCAAAAATGTACAGAATTAAATTAAACGAATATTTGACAAACATGTCTTGGAGAAAAAGCGCAGGATTCTAAATTTCGAGTCTATTTTGCAGTTGTGCCTTGAGATCAAGCTCGTCACCGGAACAAAATCACATAACTACATGCCTATGAATTCAATAAGAAATTCCATGAATTAAAGCACTCCTTGGACTTGTGTGTGTCGCATTTACTATTCAATTTATCCACATTTTTTCTTCCATTTGTTGTATACCCCTGTTGCCTTGAGACGCTCTCAACTTTTCTGGAGCCCCGAAAGTTTTTGCATCATTTTCCACTGAATAAATTTGCGATTTATATTTGCAGATGTCACCTATCATGGTGGAATGCTGCGACAGAATGGTTGAAAGTGCACAAAATATCGCCGAAGGACTTGGAATCATTGAGCTGAAGAAGTAAATTATTTTACAATATTCTATAAGTGTTCATAAGACAGTGCAGAAACCGTGTATGGAAACATCAACAATTTACTTATTTCTGAAAATTATTTGGAACAAATAACTAATTGAAACTTACTTTCAGCAAAATCAAAAGGAGAGCGATTAGTTTCATTTCAATTTATGATTTTTTTCATTTTTATACATTTTAAAAGATTATAAGTATATATATTTGTATTTTGAAAAAAAAGTAATGCAAAATCTGGAAAATAATCACTCACAAAGTTAAAAAAAAAGCTCTAGGTTATGATGACATGGACATTTGTTGACCAAGACCCGATTTTACTAAATTTATAAATCGCAAAACGTATTTTTAAAATTTCATGAATATACACTCTGTCTACAACAAAATTCAAGGGACCAGAAAAATTTGCTGCAGAGAGAATTTTCTTGTAGAGAACCCCATATAGCAAATGGCAAGAGAACATTATGGGACAAAATAATTTTTTACAGTACACAGAAAAGTGTTGTAGAAAATATTATTATAAAGTCCACCTATTGCATATAAAAATGTACCCATTTTGAAAAATGTTCAACCTCTCAGTTCAACCTCTCCAAGTCAAATTTCTAGGGACCAGGAAAAAAATTCAACTTGGGGAGGTCTAGACTTGGTTTCAATTTTTGGAGCTTTTGAGTCAGGGAAACAAACCTTTTCCACTGCAAGGGAACGTCAAAAAAAATTTGGAAAATTGTAAATGAGGATATTCTGGGCCTGAACTTGCTTCTTAATGAGTTCACAGTTTTCAGAACTTGGAGGCAGGGGTTCAATTGTTCAATTGGTCATTCACTTCATTTTAAGACGCATAAAAGCATTTGTTTAATTGATTTTCTCTTCATCATTTCAAGGAAATAACCAAAAAACATCAGAAAATTCGATTTATAGAGGTTTTAGCAAAAATGAGTTTGATTTGAGGGGGTTTTAAATCATTGTTTCTAAGTGAATCCAGACAGGGACTTGAAAAATTCTTGTTAATGAGGCGTTTGACTTGGGGGGGGGGGTTTGAGTTATCAATGTTTTTACTGTAAATTGGTTTGGGAAAACTGCAATCTTCCAAAAATTGGCACGGGGATCTGCCCCAGCTTTTAGAAACGAGATTTTCTTCAGTTAAGAAGTAAATAACAACATCAATCACTTAATAACAATTTGGAACTTCAATTATCCATGAAAAAGATAAACAAATATTTAAGCAATAAAGCGCACAGCAGAACCTCTTCGATTTGGCAGGCAAACATACTCGAAAAAGAAGCCGAAAACGCATAGATTGTATCTGGCTCTGAAGAAAGAAAAAGGTCAGATTGATCAGATCAGGACTGGAAATATGACAACGATCAGTGATGATATGCTGATATATAGACAAAAGTATTCTGAGATGTGGAGCCACTTTGAAGCGCTTGATCGGAAAGTTTTTCCTTTTTCCTTGTAGTAAGAAAAAAGTTTGTCCTTTTCAATGCTGGTTCATCCCTTAAATTTCTTCATGACATCCACTGGATTTTAGTATTTTTTGGATTGCAATTTTGTTTTTTTCCTTACAGATCTCACTTATATTATTTCACCATGCATGAACAGGAGATTCCTTGAAACGATGCGAACTTCAAAATGTTTACCTTGGAAAATTCCACTGTACTTTCACTTGTTTTTTTTTTTTTTATTGTTCGGTCCAAGTCATTGGTAATGAGATACCCTATGGGAGCTCAAGTTCAAGTTTGTTCTTCTTGGGAATAAGTACCGCATAAGACTAGTTTTTTTTTTTTACATGGAGCACCATATTGTCAGATTAAAAAGTAAACATATCGTTCAACCCATGACAAAGGGGCTTGTGTTTGACAAGGACTAAATGGAAAACGCTCTCACCATATGAGAAAAAACGTGCTTTGCAAATAACAAGCCCATCTGCAACGTTTCCAGAAAAAAGTGACAGACTTTCTCATTTTATTAAAACCAAGGTATACAGGCGGTACCTTGAAATTTGACCCTAATCCATTGCCAAACTTGGATAAAATTGCAAGACACTTCATTAAATTCAAAAATATCAATGCACAAATGTGAAACAAATGGCCAAAGCAGGTTGAATTGCACGGCAAAGGTCAAATTGCAAGTCAACTTCCCTGCAAATTCAACCATCAAATATCCAAATGGTTGAATTGTGTGAGGTTAAATTGCACGGTACCACCTGTACTGTATTATAAATGTAAAATTGTCACATGCCCAAAATCCTTTGAAAGGATTTGGAAAATTAAACAAGACCTTCTGCAGGCATCAGTTAAAACCGACACACAAAAATAATATAAATAGCTAAATAACAATCTCAAAAAGAATTTGCATTGAATCTGGAAATTTTTGCAGTTTTTTTGGCAAAGTAACTCTGGATGTGATTGCGAGATGTGCTTTTGGGACAAAGTTGGACAACTTGGACGACCCCAATAATCCATTTGCAGTCAACAGCGCCAAAGCTTTTCGACCGCCATTGTTCGACAGCGCTTGGAGTCTCATCCCAGGTATAGGAATTGTGCCAAAAAAACTGATCGAAAAATGTCTATATTCATCATATTTTTACAGACCTTTTCCCGTGGACGCAGATTTTTGGGCTTGAGGCTTTTATAAGCCGAGATTCAATCGAGTTCTTTGTCAAGACTGTAGAAGAGGTCATAAAATTGAGGAAAGCTGACGGTTCTGTGAGTTATTCTCTGTGATTCTGTGTAGAATTTATAGGTGATTTGAAAATGTTCACGTCCAAGAAGAATTAAAAAGCCAATAAGACGGACTTTTTTCGTGCAAAAAGGACGGATTCATGAGTCATGCTGTGAATAATCTTTTTATTTCTTCTGTAGGGATTAACTCTTGGAAAAATGTCCCTTCAAATTTTATTTGGAAGTCTTTGTGAGGATTTGAAATAATACAAGTAAACTGTATTTTCTGGAAAAAAAATCCTGTCTTTATGACTGAAAGGGCATCTTATCTGCATCACATCTGTCAGACCAGTAATGACAAAGACTTAGGAAATGAAAGTAAATCCTGTTCAGCCTTTAATAGGCCAGATTCTCCAGAAGGAAGTCCCTTGAAGATGCACTCTTTTACTGGCAGACCCACAGGCAACTGCAGAAGGAACAACTCTACAAAAGACTCTTGCAGACACACACAACATGTCAAATCAGACAAGACAAATTCTCAGCAGGAATAAAATCCACCAACAGCCATCAGGCAATGCTCAGTGAGAAGTGAAGTCTTTGGAGACTTTACTGGGCTTCCATTCTTCCCAGATTCTTATTGTTAATCACCCTTTTTGCTGCATTGCGGTAAACCAGGTGCCAATCCACTTCCGGGTCTCTGGGCTGCTGCTACGCGTGACATAGGCGTGCCCAAGCAAGGATGCTGCGCTTGGGTCACGCCATGTGTACGCAACCCCACAACATCCAAATACATGTAGTACCTTGCAATTTGACCTCCTGCAATTTGACCATGCTGCAATTTGATGGTCAAATTTGCATGGAGGTTGACTCATAATTTGTCCGTTGTCCCACAATTTGACCTGCTTTTGCTGCTTTTTTGAATTTTTTGGCCAATATTTGTCCAGTTTCCTAAGTGTCTTGAAATTTACCCTAGTCTAGCAATGGATTATGGTCAAATTGAAAGATACCACTTGTATTTTACTCTTGAACTTAACAGTGAGCAACAACAAAAAATTCAAGAAATATACTCTCTGCTTATTGCAGATACCCACAGCATCAACTTTTTAGATTAAAGTGACTTATTTTGATATATTGACAGAAATTAATTGATCAAAGCAATTCAAGGATACTGTTGTCAGGGAACAAAAGAGATTACCCAAATGCACCCATACACAAAACAGCTGCATGTAGGAAACTTTCTACAATTGAACTTCATCTAACAACCCAAAAAACCAGCTCAAAACAAGTCCTCAAGATAACAATCTAAAAAATTACAGCCTCTCAAAACAAGACAAACTAACTTGATTTCCTCATCCATTTTGCTGGTGTTGGGAATCTGGTGATTTTGAGAGTGAAAATTGCTTACCAGAAAGACTGTGAAACCTGCTATAGATACATTTGTTCTTGGAGACTTTGTCTCAGCCAAAAATGGTCCAACATTCTGTTTCCTTTTTTTCTAAAGTGACTCTTCAAAATTTCTTTTTTGCTGGACTTTAGAGTCCCTGACAATTACGATTTTTTTTTTAAGCATACATGGCAAATTTTCAGGGACAAATAAAATACTGCATCACACCAGTAAAAAATTAATTAATTGAGTAAAAGATTAACCACTGCCTTGTGGTTAAAAACCAGTGTTTTTTT